ACAAGGACAAAAGTTTAAGGCTGAACCTCAAGTGCCTAAGGATTCAGCCTTAAGGGTAAAACCCAAGCACTTGAGGATAAACCCTAAGTCACTTGAGGATAAACCTCAAGCAAAAAAAATTTCCATTTTTGGTATCAATATTTTTGTGTAGCTTGAGAATATCCTCAAGTGCTTGGGTTTTATCCTCAAGTGACTTGGAGTTTATCCTCAAGTGCTTGGGGTTTATTCTCAAGTTCTTGGGGTTTATCCTCAAGTGACTTGTGGTTTATCCTCAAGTGCTTGGGTTTTATCCTCAAGTGACTTGTGGTTTATCCTCAAGTGACTTGTGGTTTATCCTCAAGTGCTTGGGTTTTATCCTCAAGTGACAAATTTTATGTAATTTATCAAGTTAAACTTGAAAATATAATTTAACTATAAAATAAAGAATTAATTGATAATTTTTTTAATTTTATAATATCAATAAATTGTCTATAATGGATCAAAATTCTCGAGAGGATTTTGAAATCTTTATTCAAAATACACTTCAAAATGCTAACAGAATGCTTAACTCTGATGATGTAAATTCAATTGAATTACATATAGAAAGGCTTGATCTTTTATTAGCCATGTTTACACAACTTATTATTAATTTTCCCAATGATAATATTCTGGGATTTTTACCAGAAATTATAAACCTAAAAAGACAACTAGAAACCAAAATAGAAACTTTAAATTCAGAAAATAATAACCCAATAAATAAGTTTATTTCATATAGACGTACTAGTGGTAGACCTACAATATTAATTAGTGAAAATGCAATCAGAATGTTGAGAAAAGAAGGGTTTAGTTGGGAAAAAATTGCTACAATTTTTGGAATATCTAGTAAAACAATTCAAAGACGTAGAAGAGAATTAAACATTCCTGATGATATAGGTGAATATACACAATTAACTAATGAACAAATTGATGGTGTGGTTAGAATTATTAGACAAGAGCAACCATTCTCTGGACAAAATATTATTATGGGAACACTAAGATCATTAGGAATAAAAATTCATCGTCAGAGACTCAGAGATTCATTATATCGTATTGATTCATTTAGGATCATTAATCGTTGGGCACATATTATTCCTAGACGTGTATATCATGTTGCTGGTCCTAATTCATTATGGCACATTGATGGAAATCATAAATTAATCAAATGGAAATTTGTTATACATGGAGGAATTGATGGATTTACACGAATGATTACATTTTTACATTGTAGTAGTAATAACCGTTCTGAAACAGTATTGAAATATTTTTTAGATGGATGCAATAAATTTGGCATTCCAATTAGGGTTCGTGCAGACAAAGGTGGTGAAAATATATTAGTGAAAAATTGGATGGAAAATTATAGAGGATTGAATCGAGGAAGCTTTATTGCAGGATTGTCTGTGCATAACCAACGTATTGAGCGACTTTGGGTGGATTTAAAAAATGTTGTATTAAAAATATATTCAGCAGTTTTTCATTTTTTAGAAGAACATCACAATTTAGTTACCAATAATATGGTATATATGTTTTGCTTGCATTATGTTTTTTTACCTAGAATTAATAGATCCTTGGAGATTTTTGTAGATTCCTGGAACAATCATTCAATAAGAACTGAGCATAATTCAACACCACATCAATTGTTTATAAAAGGTATGATTGAAAATGGGTTCAGGGGAATGGAAAATTTAGATATCAATGTAAATGAGTATGGTGTAGACTGGGAAGGACCAGTACCTACTGAAAATATTGAACAAGTGGTATGTGAAGATCCACATAAAGTACTTACAGATGAGCATTTATTAGAATTAAAGAATAGGCTAAATCCTCTGGAGGATGATGAGTGTTATGGAATTAATGTTTACAATAAGTGTTTAAGAATAGTGATGGAATTATTATCTAGAGCACATCCTGACTTACTTTAGTATTAGTGTTATTGTTTTTCAATTTTTTTTAGAAATTTTCATAATTGAAAGTTTGCATTTCTACATAAAAACATAAAACAAAAAAAAAAAAACAAAATTTGACTAAAAGCCATGACATATTTTTTTTTAATTGAATTCATGATACAACAAATCAACAAATTTTAAATGCAATTTTCTTGTGTCTCAATAAATTCATTGAAACAAATTATGGTAAATTTTGTTGTTCATCAAAATGCAATTTATGAAAATTTACACATAATTAGATAATCAGAATAAATTGATAAAGGTTGTTATTTTTATTTTTATTTCTATTTTTATTTTCTCCAATATTTTCAAAAAACATATAATTGCAACAACAAATAACTCATGAAAAAATAGCTTTTGAATTTAAAACTTAGGACCATTATAAGTCAACTTACTACATAAATTTAAAATTCTTTAATGTTGGTTACCATTAACATAATTATCAATAGAATAGTTAATAAATTCAAAGTTATTATTATTAGATCTTTGTCTTTGTCTATATCTTCTTTGGACATTATTGTTTCCATTATTATTGGAATTGTTTCTAATATATGGATTATGTTGTAGTTGGTCTTGGGTAGGCATTTGAAATGAAGGTTGTTGAGGTGAAGAATGTGAATTACAGTTAGAATACAGTGGAAATGAATTGATTTCATTTGATAAGTTATTACTTTCTAAATCAATTATTTCAGGTTGATTTGTGTTGATATTTACTTCAAGTGATTGAATTCCATCAGTATTATCTAATTCTGTTAATGTTATATTATTATTGTTATTGTTACTATTATTACTCAAATGCAAACCAAGTCTATCATTATTGGAATATGATGTATTAATTGCAGAACTTGCTAGATATGCATGATTATATGATTTTTCACTAAATCCTTCACAATTATAAAATGCCTCAATTAAATCGTTTCTAAATTGTGCAAAACCTTGTGTTGATATTTCATAATCTTCACACAAGATCAATGTATTAGAACATGTGGATGCATAAGCTAATTTATGCAACAATTTTCCTTCACATGTTCTCCATTCGATCTATTAAAATTAAAAATTAATTAATTAATTAATAATAATTTATTTAAGAAAATTGATTAAAAAAATATTTACATGAATTTTTGGATAAATTGGTAATCTAATTGCACCAGTAACAAATTTCAATATTTTCTCTATCATTTCCACATCATTGATTTCTTTAATAAAATTATAGAACTCATTAAATAATTTCTTTTGTTTGGTTGTAAAAAATAAAGTGTTTGAATCCATTTGAGCAAGAAGTTCTGTTGAAGAAAGTTTGCTATAGAGAACATTTTCAATTTTTTTCCAACCTATCACTTTAAATTTCTGAAATAAAAAATATTTAATTAAAAAAATGACAATAAAATTATTTGATTAATTTACTAAACTACATACATCAATGATCCCTAAAAAATTAAAACCTTCTTTAAATAATTCAAGGTTTTTTTTACGTTGTTCAATGATGTAATGATTTGATAATAAATTTGCTGCTTCATCACAACTTATTTTTGATTTGTCAACCTATGTTTATTTGAATTTTATTAAATAAAGTAAATAAACTTTAAAAAATCACAAGAAAATTAAATTGATTGGTTACATTGAAGTTATGAGAATCTGCATAAGTGAGAAAATTATTCAACCAAACTTCATCCTGGTTTTTAAGTCCACTAAATATCTTGTACAAGTATCTATTTTTTTCTTTTAGTCTTTCATTCACATCAATTGGTGCTCCCATTATATATTCAATTTGAAAAGGATCAAACCATTTTGGCCATGCTCCATGATGAATGAAACACCAAAACATTAATTTACCAAGATACAATGGCATTTCATCAACTACAATCATATCTTCAGCAATCATTCCATTATTGAACCATTCTGGCTGAAGAAATTCAATGTTGTCCCAAAAATACTGGGTCATCTCACGAAATGCACCACCTGAATCAATCACACTAAAAAAAAATTAAAATTAGAAAAACCAATTTAATATTTATTTAAAAAAAAAAAATAACATGTTACTTACTTTTCACCAATAATTTCAAGGCATGGTTTGGATATTACATCTGTAATGCTTGCCTTTTTAACCCACTCATACAATAAAATGATGTTGTTTTTAGCAATTGTAATATGAATTGATTTATTTTTAGCATCTATGTGCAAAGCTTCTAATTCATTTTTAATGCCATCAATGAAAGAAAAAAAATCAATATTTGAAGAATCTTTACTATCAAAAATAGAATTTGTAGTATCAAACATTTCATTGTTTTGATTGGTGAGATTAGTACTAGTAGATTGGTTGTGAAAATTATTAGAATGAGTTGTTGTTGATAATTGATAAATGTTATCAATATTAGATGTCGTGATATCAGTTTCTGTGATTAATCTAGAGTCAACCATTTCATTGTCCATCATTTCAGAGGTTGATTCAATTAAGTTATCTGAATCATAATTATTTTGTGATAAATTAGAATTTCTCATATCTGGCTTTAAGTATAATCTTTGACGTTTAGTAGCAGCACTAAATTTTTTAATATATGTGTAATAAACCATTATTATAATATTTAAATCTGATAAGTTAATGAATAATGTTACTTATTTAATAATTACCTTTTTAAAATCTTTAAAGTATAAGGTTCATTTGCTGAAAAAGGTGATAGGGATAGTTTAGTTGTAGATTCTGGACGATAAATCTTCCAACCAGTGTTTAATATAGGAAAGTTATTAATTATTTTCCTGTTAATATATTCATTACTGTTTTCATCAAATTCAATAGTTTTAATGTAACTATGATTTTCAAGATAGTTCCATCTGCAAAAAATCAAAACCATAATATTGTAAATTCAATAATTCAATTAAAATATGCATCTACAAAAATATATTAAAATTTATTTACTTACTTGTCATCACCTTCAGCAGGAATAATATAGTCATCTTTGTCTAAGACTATGATTTGAAAGGATACCTTTTTAATTTTCTTTGTATTATTTTTTCTCTTATTTTTTGCAAGAGAATATCTTAAATTAGCCCTTTGTATATCAAATGAAATATTTCGTGCACAGCTTTGTTGAATATTATATGGTGATGAGCTGCTAGAACCAACCATAGTACTGTTTTGAATAATACTACTAGAATAGGTATTTGTGCGTTCTGATGACAAAAAATTTTGTATATTTTCCCTGAGATTGTTATTTGAATTGTTACTGTTCTGTAAATTAATTTGATTTATGTTGGAGGTAGTTGAGGTAGTCACCTTAATAAATGTACATGTAAATTGTCATTATTGTGTTATTTATGTTATAATATAATTTTGATCTAAAATCATATATACATATACCTCTTGTTTATGCCACCCTTCATCATGGCCACATAATCTACAAAGATCTTTATTCTCATCATTTAATGATAAATGTGGTTTAAATTTTTGGCACCCACACCCAGAAAAACAGCATTCTTGTGGCATTATTATTAGTTGAATAAATTGATAAATGTATTAAAAAGAAGATTTTTTAGTTGGATATGAATTTTAGATAAATTTTTTTAAGATGTAAACAAGTAAACAAGAAAAATTGTTTGCGTAGACAAATAATTAAAGACATTTAATAAATAAGGTTAGAAAGCTTATGTAAACTAATTTTTATGATGGCCATCATATGAATAATTTATAAAAGGAAAGTAAAATAAATTAAAAGCTTTAAAAAGTAAAGAAAGCTTAATTAAGAAATGCCTTGATTCAGGAAAAAACCAAAAGATAAATCAACCCATTGGAGAAATT